TCTCTTAGGGCGCTCGCGGTACTTGGATGTCATACAATGACTGGTCTGCGCAGCGCCGCTTCAAGTCGAGCACACCTAATACCAGGCTTGTTCGAGATGAACTATACTAGCCTGCCACCGGCTGGCGAGAGTAACCGCTTGCAGTAGGGGCGAAATTAAAAGCGGAGGCGTCAAGTCGGACACTTTCTGTTCCCGTTAGTGACGATCTCGTGGTGTTTGCATACTCTATCACAGATGAAGTGAATTAAATGCAATATTTGTCAAATACACAGACTTTTCAGAAACGTTTTCATGAGCAACAAAAACACTTTATATACTGCTTAATACAGCGCCTTCTGTTCATAAATAAAGTTCAACATAAACATATACTATTTAAATACCAATAAAGTGAGGGTATATATGCTTTTATCAGTGTTTTTACTGTTATAAAACACAGATTTGTGAGCATTATTGGAGTTGAATTTTTAGAATAAACCAGTAACACCCGTCGTCCTTGTCATCACAGAACCTGAGCAATGAGAATAAAGTGTGTTGTCATAAAGGCTTTCGCAGCCGATTTTGAGCAACTGCGGCGCCTGACCTCGGCGGCTGGTCTTGTTTAGCTCTCGCGGTACTTTGATGGCACATATGATCGTAAGGCGGCTGCAGCGCCGATCAAAGTCGGACAAATGTTCTAACCAGAATGCATTGCTTTTGTCAGGCGGCAGCCGATCTTTGCGGCACCGCATGAAGTCGAACAAGCCTACCGTTTTCGGAAAGGAAATGATGTGTACTACGGAACCCCTAAAGGGAATTAATATGAGATGGGAGAAAAAAAATAATATTTCAATACATTCTCTCGCAATTATATTGTTGGATAATTATACTGTATATAAATTGCGGCATTAGGGAGCCGCTATTAATATGCGGGGCATTGAAACCGCTTTTGAATGCGTGATCTCATTTTACTTTCACTTTCAAGATTCGTGATCACACGTACTCTATATACTACGGGGCAGCAGTACTTACCACACATTCGCCCCAGCTAACAATTTTTGGTTCCCAGAACGTTCCCAAGAATGTTCCCTGTTGGTTAGCCAGGAAAGTTTTCTTAACGTAAATAGAACGTTCCCTTTAGGTTAAGGGAACGTTCCGGGATACCTTCTGGGAACGTTCCCAGAACGTTCTCGGTAGGTTACGGGAACGTTCCCCTAACCTAAAGGGAACGTTCTATTTATGTTCCGAGAACGTTCAAAGAAAGTTCTCTGAAGGTTCCCAGAACGTTCTCCTAACCTCTTTACGCCGATACCGCTGCTGTACGTCAGTAATCATCAGTGTTGCCAGATTGGAAATCTCCAAGTATCGTATCGTACCAGAAGCTCAAAATGATCGTATTTGGAAGAAAATTATCGTACACGAGTCAAACGTAC